CTGTCATGCCAAAGTCATATTTACAGAAGTACACACATGTCAGTGTGGATAGTTCGGTCCCTTATGCCAGTACGTCAATCTAGCTTGCCATAATAATTAAAATTAGGTGCTGAATGCGGAGGCGACCAGCCAGGAAGCGCACCGTAAAATTCAGGATGCAACACAAAAACGCTGTAGGAAATATATCTATATCCGCGAACAAATCTAGTCTCAAAATCATGCACTGGAACACAGAGGGAGTTGAAGGTAATAATTTAGAACTAGAAAACACTTGGAATAAAGAACAGATACACGTATGCTGCCTTCAGGCGACCTACCTCAAACAAGACATAGCCTTTAAGATCAGAGGCTTCCAGTGTTACCGATCTGACCGAAAAGACAGAAAGAAGGGTAAAATACTAACCCATTGTCTTATATAACATATTTGTATGCCAGACTGAAACATACATGGAAGGGGCAGAGTACAAGATTCTTAAGCTCAAGACAGAAAACACAGTTTTCCAACTAATCAACTATTACTGTCCGAGCGAGCGCCTTTTTTTTTTTAGTATCAAGAAGCCATGAGTTGTTAACCCTTAGGCTCGGTATTATGGATATCGCAACCTTTCGGCCTTGATTCCATTTTAAATACCATAAATCTGGGAGAAATGTGGCTTTTCTGCCCACCCCCGGGAGTGAACCCGGACCACAAGGAGTTCGTCACCCGCTCACCGCGCAATCCGGTTTAGCCAACTACGCTAGAGAGACGGGCAGCGAGCGCCTTAAGGCACTGGATGAAAACCGATTCTTTCTCATAAATAAGCCAACCGACCCACCAGCCTTTTACTCAAAAGCATGGCATACCACCTCTACGCCAGACCTAGCCTTTCATTCACTAGGTATGGAATGGGTTATTACTAGAACTGTTAGGAAACTACTAGGAGGTACCGATCACCGCCCAGTCTTCCTAACGATAAAAAACCAGTCTGTAAGAAAGAGCAGCACTCTATCAAGATCGAATTACAAGAAGGCCCCTTACAAGTGTTTTGGTTAAAAATATAACAATGCAAAGTAGTAGAAGAATTCAGCAAATGTATATTGCAGGCAGCCCTGGAAATAACATTAAGAGGTGCAATTAAGCAGTATAAATCATACTGGAATTGTGACCTAGAACAATTGCACAATAATATAGAAACTATGGTGCAGAAGTTCAAGCCATCAAAATAGCAGGAGAAAAACTGTTAAATATACCTCATATTTCACAACTCGTGGTATTTCTGACAGATGCAAAAGCGGTGCTTCAGGCATTCCAACCTGGAGAGCTCCCTGGTATACAAACACTACTCTTTAAACTAGGCAGTCGGTGTAAGGTAACTATGCATTGGATACCATCCCACTGTGGAGTTCTTGGAAATGAGAGAGCTGATGAACTAGCTAAGGAAGGTGCAAATGAAGAACAACCTGACGTACCAGTCTTTTATCAGCAAAAGAAGAGAATAATCAAATCAATCAGAAAAACCACCAAAAACCGGCACAAGACAATTACCATTTTATGGACAGACCAAAGCAAGTTATTATTCTACACCTTAGAACAGGACACAGTCGACTTCGCAGCCACATGTATACAAAATTTAAAACTGGCGAATCAGCCATGTGCACAGTTGGACTGGCACCTGAGACAACACATCATGTCCTCCAAGACTGTCCCAAATACAACATATCAAGGCAAAACTTCTGGCCAGGAGAAATATTGGTGCAAGTCAAATTTTACGGGTCGCTGAGTGAATTACAAAAGACAGCGAAGTTCATAGTAGAGACAACATTGCAGATATTTATAATTTATTTCAAGCGAACGAAAGAAAATGAAGAAGTTTTCCAATATAATGTTCACAGTGGACTATAAAATAAATGAGAAACATTACAAGCAACAGAAACTTCCGTACATGCGCATATGTCCACCGGAAGAGAAAAGTGGTTTTCCCGTCTGCTTCTCTAGTGTATCGCATAGAACGCGTGGTGGAAGTAGAAGTGGTCGGACTCAGAACTAACCTATTTGATACCTTTCAGTGTGTAAGTTTGTTTTCGATTTTTCTTACCCAGCTTATATCACATTCGTTGTACAGGTGTTATTACTGCCACGGTTGTTCAGGGAACCAAGTAACTTAATAAATAAATATATCGCCGGTCGGTAGTTTAAGTTTAAATCGACCTGTGGCTGTTGTCACTACTTATAGTTATAGTTAAGTTTTAGTTTAAACAAATCCACTATTTTCATTCAGTTTATTAGTTTATTATTTCTAAAGTTAATTATGAAACATTACAACGAGAGTATAATGTGAGATAAATGCACTTTACACCAGTATTATTTATGTACCTGAGATTCGTATAGTATAGTGGTATAATAGTAAATTGAGCATAAAATTAATCAGTCAGCCACCTTTGCATGCTTCCTTGGTTGTACTCAGTTAAAGTGTTTCAACAGTTTCATGTTATTGTTTCCTATTTTAGTTTAGCTAGTGACCTAGGAGCCCAAGCAAATAAATAGGAATTAAAAGCTCACATCGCCACTCAAACGTTCTGACTTCTGAACATAATAATTTATAATAAAAACTCACTCATTTATTGATTTATAATGAAATTAATAATTTCTAAACTTCTAAAAAAAATACCTCCGAATTTATACCTGATATTATGGTGGCCAAATACCCTAACAGTGCCTCAGTCATGTGCCGTTTTTTTCTGTATGTTGTATTTCTCAGTTAAATTATTATATTGACGTTAGGTATCGCAGGCATGGCTAATGATTGATTTCTGGGATATTGCACGCTCATTAGCAGTTAGCTTGCCACATAATGATGTTGAGCTTCAGAAACTCCATCTATCTTCTTCCTGGCCTGTCACTTGCACTGCCTTGTGATGTTTCCACTCTCATGTTGTACGCCTTTGTAACCAGTGACACTAGTTTTAGTTTATTCTGACCAGGTGGCCTAACTTTCAGTTTTCTTTGTTTATTAATAAATCTAGTAGCATAGGTTGTGCCAAACATTATTATTAATATTATACTATAGTATCTTTTTGTTTTTTAATGGTCTCTTTTTATGATAGCCTTTCTTCAGCAATAAACATCTCATTTCCAGGTTTGGCTTTGGCATATTGATACCACAATGGTGGTTAAAAGAGTGTTGATTTGTCTTTTACTTTCCATTGGTGCTGTTGGGTGCTTCAGTATTAGAATTAGAGAGAATTGACAGGTAGCATTGTTTGCTTGCACTTGCTGGATACTGGACTCTACCTGTGAAAAGGCTTCCAAGATATTTGAATTTGCCTACCTGCTTTTGTGAATATTCATTAATATTTATGTTAAAGTCTTTTTTTTTTGTTCCTTGTTTATGTTCATGTTTTTTTTTAAAATGTTTATCCTTATGTTATTGTTGTATTGCACTCTAATGCAATTTGTTCCTGTACTTTGTTAGTTTCAAGTTTTACTGTAGAATATTTAGCATTAGCAAAGAGCAGCTGGCTCAATGCCAGAACTGTTGACACCCTCAATGGTGTGGGACTTTTATTAGGAGGAGGGTTTCCCCGCTGTATGCAGTAGATTCGCTGTGAAAAAAAGTTCCTTAATTTACATATGATTGAGGCCCGGTTAGGCTGTTTTCTTAGCCTTGATAATTTTGGACTGTTTGGAGGATAGCCCAATAACCTGTTAAGTCGTGGTTGTATAGATAATAATAGGAGTTAAATGTCTGCATTTTATTATTATCTTGCTTATAGTAACTAGCCTAGCTGTATCCTAGCTCTTTCTTGATGTCACTCATGTCTGCAATACAACATGATCTACATGCCGTTGGACTATTTTTTTTTAGACTAGTGTGTCAACATCACACTGGCTGCTTCTTCTCCCCAGGACATTTCCTAATTATAGTATTAGCCTGTGTCAGAATGGTAATATAATTCAGCTGTCTTAGTGCAGTTATTAACCTAAGACATTTATGAAACATCCACCTGAAATATTATATACTAACATTCCTAATAAAAGTCATTCAAATTGGTTTCCTTGATGGTGCCATTTGAGATTTTTAGTTATAAAAGTTGTGGAGGAATGAACATCAATCTTAATAGTGTTTCTGACAAAGGTCATAAACCAGTATTACATCTACCCCGGCAATTTACTGAGATACATGGTGGAAGAGAAGTGGAGGAATATTTACCATTTTTTATCAGTTTAAAAATAACTTAATTAAACAAAAAATGCAATAGCGTTATGATTCCGTTCTGTGAGCTCAATTCCAGACCCCCATGTGTTGCTTTGCTTCTGTGAAAGCCTTCTATGATGACAGGAAGTGCCCATGTTCTCCAGGGGCTACACCTAGAGATCATGGGACTGTCAAGTCACCACACAAATGGATCTGGGAAACTAACATGGAAATTTTTTGAAAAAGCCTGATGTGTCGGCTAGAAGGCACACATATTGCAGCTGTGCTGACAGGTACATTTTATGTAATTAGCACGAATTATAAAGTCAATAATAATAATGAGAACTATAACAAATTGCAGTGTAATTAGACCATACTCACATAGTGCCAGACACAACAGATTCTGCTATTACATAGATACATAGCAGTCTGGAGCCACAGTTTCTAGATGCTTACCTACTGAGCTAAAATTTATAGGTGGGAATCTTACTCTCTAATCTCGTCTGTTTTAAAAAAAAAAAAACCACGACCGTGACTCTCAAGAGGACCCAGATAAATTAGTACCTTGTGATGCCCTGGGAAGTATCGATGGCCAGTATGATAACCTTAACCCCATCAAGAGCCAGTTTCTCTCTTATGATATAGGTGTATATCATCACATGTATGACAGGAATAGAAAGGTCTTTAACATTTTTTAAATCCTGCTGTTTCTGATATAACATGTCATGTGGACACATTGTGTGAGCAACCTTGACCGGACTGTTAGAGCTGCTCAAGAGTGGATTGTCTGACATCTACACTTTGCTTCTCTATTCACCAGCCACAATGACAGCATCTGATCAACCTAGCAGCGATTCTTTGACAGCTCTTGATGCAAAGATCATCAAACAGATTGAAGTGAGCACGTTTTTTTGTCGTATATTTTCCGTGTTGTGTTTTTGTAAAGGATAAAGAATATTCTGTGTTGTGTGTTTGTAAAGGATAAAGAATATTTTCTGTGTTGTGTGTTTGTAAAGGATAAAGAATATTTTCTGTGTTGTGTGTTTGTAAAGGATAAAGAATATTTTCGATGTTGTGTGTTTGTAAAGGATAAAGAATATTTTCCGTGTTGTGTGTTTGTAAAGGATAAAGAATATTTTCTGTGTTGTGTGTTTGTAAAGGATAAAGAATATTTTCTGTGTTGTGTGTTTGTAAAGGATAAAGAATATTTTCGATGTTGTGTGTTTGTAAAGGATAAAGAATATTTTCTGTGTTGTGTGTTTGTAAAGGATAAAGAATATTTTCTGTGTTGTGTGTTTGTAAAGGATAAAGAATATTTTCTGTGTTGTGTGTTTGTAAAGGATAAAGAATATTTTCTGTGTTGTGTGTTTGTAAAGGATAAAGAATATTTTCCGTGTTGTGTGTTTGTAAAGGATAAAGAATATTTTCTGTGTTGTGTGTTTGTAAAGGATAAAGAATATTTTCCGTGTTGTGTGTTTGTAAAGGATAAAGAATATTTTCTGTGTTGTGTGTTTGTAAAGGATAAAGAATATTTTCCGTGTTGTGTGTTTGTAAAGGATAAAGAATATTTTCCGTGTTGTGTGTTTGTAAAGGATAAAGAATATTTTCTGTGTTGTGTGTTTGTAAAGGATAAAGAATATTTTCTGTGTTATGTGTTTGTAAAGGATAAAGAATATTTTCTGTGTTGTGTGTTTGTAAAGGATAAAGATCAGTGGAGCCAGTTCCATATTCCATCACATTTGTCACAAGATGGGGGTGTCATACGTCATATCTGTCACTCAACATATAGGAGGTACACCGACACTCTGGAATGGCAGTTTGTTGTGATAGTGGCTCGTGCCAGTTTAGACAGCAAACCCCAACAACCATCCATCACTCATTCCTGCAGATGAGTTAGCTTCAGTTTTGGGCACCTAAGATCTTCCAGGACACAACTTGGTCAGACACTGTCACTACCTGTAATTCCCCGAGACTAGATAGTTCTGTTATTTCTTGTTTGTGAAATGTCTAAGCTGCAAAGTCTCGTTTAAAAAAAATGTTGTAATTTCATTTTTTTGATCTGTACATAGACATCAAATAGTTTTTGATCTGTACATAGACATCAAATATCATTTCTATTTTGTATGTGTGTGTGCATATAGCTGTGGAGTCTGTGTCTTATTCAACATTTTTGATTTGATTATTGTTTCAGTATTACTTTGGGGATGTCAACCTTTTGAGGGACACATTTCTCAAGGAGAAAATTCAAGAGGATGATGGCTGTATCCTTTAAGAACTGACCTGCTTTTAGTAGGATTGAAATGTTGACATTTTGTGTGTACATTTTCTTTACTATGGTATAAGTACATTCTGAGACATTGAAAAATGTGTTCTTACTATTAGTTGAGGTGTACATAAGGTCAGTTGAGACATGTATGCATATGCTGGAGACACAGTCTAGACAGACATATGCGGTGGTTTTATACTTAAGTACAAGTCTGCTAAAGCATACATATATAGTTAAGACATAATGGTTTAGACTAGGGCTACAGTGCTGGGATATAGGGATCTTTGTAGACCAGAAGCCCCGGCATAGAAAGATCATTACAATAATACATATGTTAGGTGATCCAGTGACCACTTGCTAGGTCTCTGCGGGCCAGATGCGACCTGCCGGCCGCCAGTTAAACGGCCCTGGTTAAGACAGTCAGTTAAAGCATACAATCACTCAATATATAGAATTATGTATTCATTCATTCACCTGTTCATACAAGACAGACACATAGTTAGCCGAGACAAAGTACAGTGGACTGGGTCGTGCATATATTTTCGTACGCAGAGCTGACTTTGACTGCTGAGAACTTTTAAGTTATATTGATGTGGAAATTGTTGCGACATGTGTATGATTTCCTGAACTCAGTGTGCAGGGGTGACCATGGAGACCATGCTAAAGTTCAACAGACTCAAGGAGATCACCAGTGATGCCCAGGTGATTTGTGAGGCCCTTAAAAAGTCATCCAGTGGTCTGATGGAGGTGAGCATCACATGTTTAGTCTGCCAGTAAATCAAGCTGGCACAATACTTTTGTTGTTGTAATGTATGTTGGAAAGCAGTGGTTGTCAGTTAGGTCAGAACTGCACATACATTTTTATTTTTAGTTACTGCGTCATACTTTTGAATGGGATTAATTTAAATTACAATCGTTAAAAAAAGAAATGCTTTCTGCAGTAGAGTTTTTACATGTAGTAATAAATGACATCCCAGGCCATCAAATGGGAAATGTTGTTGTAGGGTGTCAGTGCAGTGTGTGTGTGGTCACATTTACACGCACATTGCTTTCTTTACTCACCCTTTCAAGGACAGTTTGCTCACTAAGTTGTGCACGCCAGGCTGTCATTTAACCCAACAAATTTTAGCAAACTTTTTATGAAGCACCTTTTATGACATGCTTGGTACATGCTAATTATTTGTCTGTACCATGGTCTGTTCTTCCGTGCTTTCTTATTCAATAGAACGCTATCACTTGGACAGGACAAAAGGTGCCCGCATGTTTGTTGAGGGATCGGGGATGTTTTTTTTACTCCTAAAAAGTTATTCTTTTAACACATATGTATTTGTGATGTGCACTCAGTACAACTACAGTGCAGACATAAGGACTCGCAGTAGTTCAATTAATGGTTCTTCGATTTAATTACATTGAAATACACACATCATTTGCATGTGGTTACATTTCACATCTCACCACCAGGAAATCAAGATTAGTTGACCACAACTGAGGTTTTACTCTATCACAGAATTGTTTGTTGAATTGTCACAGCTTCCACCAGTTTCATCACCAAACACCTGTTCAGGTTGTACGTGTTTGCTATTATTGTCGTCTCGTGAACATATTTGCTGAGTGTGTTTCATTGTCATCTTCCAGGTGAGCGAGCAGGGAGACAAGATCAGAAGAAGTCCCTCCAAGCCATTGCCAGGTGACACCAAGGAGAGACGTGAAGAGATCCTCGCCAGATCCATCTACGCTGTAAGTTGTCATTGATTGGCCTCCTGTGTTTCAGCTGTTTATTATGTAGTAGGGATGTTTGGCAAGGTGAATGGCTAGATTTTTGCCTACCAACCCAACTGTCTTGGGGTTTGTACCTATGTTTTGTCAGCTGACATTACCTTCCAGCATGTTTTTCAGCTGACATTACATCCCAGTTAAAAATTGGGTGTTGTGAATGTTATGGTAAGTTAAGCCGTATGGAAGCATGACGTAGACTGGGTCATTGACAGTGGTACAATGTAAAGCTTGTGAAAAAGGCGTTGTTGTTTTCCAATTTGTGTTGAAAAGGGATGGACATTAGTTTTCAATATGCAAAATTCAGAGCTAATTAATAAATATTATACATCTTATAAAACGTTATTTAAGTAAGGCAAGTGTTTTTTGCATAGAAAAAGTAATTGAAATAAGTTGTTTTCGCAGAAATCATTCCCGCTGGATGTCAAGTTAGATGACCTGCAACAGTTCTTTGAAGGGTATGGTCAGGTCGACAATGTCTACATGAAGAGAGACTTTCACAAGAAAACTTTCAAGGGATCTGTGTTTGTCATTTTTACTAACAAGGAGGATGCTGAGAAATTTGTCAGCGAAGAAGGCACAAAGTTTAGAGACCAGGTGTTAGAAGTGAAATCTTTCAAGTGAGTATATTTGTGTGTGCTATTTTAATGTTTAAATCCCCTGTGTTCTACTGGCACAGCTGTATTTAGTCGTTGTTTAATGTTCAGATCACTTATCTTTACTGTTACTATGTTTGGATTAGCACTGTTCGCTGTAGCAAATATATTTAATAATTGTTGAATGTTCCATTCTGAAGGCCAGCAGTGTTTACTGGAGCAGATATATTTAGTCAGTGTTCAGTGTTTCAATATTTAGTCGAAATGTTTATTGTCCTTATGATTGGATCACCAGTTTCTGCTGAGGCTGGGGAATTTAGTCAGTGTTATGGGGATAGGAATGGGCTTTGATAAAACGGGAAGGGGGGGGGGAAATGGTGATAAGTACAAAATGTCTTTATCATATTAGATAGTTTCATCCTTGTTAGTCTTGAGTGCAGTTTGCATACACCTTTGGTAGATCTCTAAAGAGTGTACATGGCATGTGATAGTGATGTAGCCGATTTGTAGCATGTGTCCCATAGACAATCACTACTGTATTGTTAAAGTAACTTGATTGAGAACACATTTGTAGCACCTGGTTGGAAACACTTTTCTCATTGTTTTTAGAACACTGATTTTGTTTTTGTCCTCACATAGAGCGGATTACTTCAAAAACAAGGCCGCAGAGAGAAAATCAAAGGGCAAGAAGGACACAGAGGGGAAACCAGACAAGAAGAGGTAACTTTGGTGTAACTTAACTCTTTGTTGTAGTTCAAATTATGATCCTGTTACTCACCATGTGGGAACTAAAACACCAACCCCATACCCAAGTGTGGGAACTGAGACACCACCCCCATCCCCAAGTGCGGGAACTGAGACACCACCCTTATCCCCAAGTGTGGGAACTGAGACACCACCCCCACCCTTAAGTGCGGGAACTGAGACACCACCACCATCCACAAGTGCGGGAACTGAGACACCACCCCCATCCCCAAGTGTGGGAACTGAGACACCACCCCCATCCCCAAGTGCGGGAACTGAGACACCACCCTTATCCCCAAGTACGGGAACTGAGACCTTATCCCCCACCCTGAGACACCATCCCCAAGTACTGAGGAACTGAGAACACCACCCCCCTTATCCCCAAGTGTGGGAACTAAAACACCACCCCCATCCCCAAGTGTGGGAACTGAGACACCACCCCCATCCCCAAGTGCGGGAACTGAGACACCACCCTTATCCCCAAGTGTGGGAACTGAGACACCACCCCCACCCTTAAGTGCGGGAACTGAGACACCACCCCCATCCACAAGTGCGGGAACTGAGACACCACCCCCATCCCCAAGTGTGGGAACTGAGACACCACCCCCATCCCCAAGTGCGGGAACTGAGACACCACCCTTATCCCCAAGTACGGGAACTGAGACACCACCCTTATCCCCAAGTGCGGGAACTGAGACACCACCCCCATCCCCAAGTGCGGGAACTGAGACACCACCCCCATCCCCAAGTACTGGAACTGAGACACCACCCTTATCCCCAAGTGTGGGAACTAAAACACCACCCCCATCCCCAAGTGTGGGAACTGAGACACCACCCCCATCCCCAAGTGCGGGAACTGAGACACCACCCCCATCCCCAAGTGTGGGAACTGAGACACCACCCCCATCCCCAAGTGTGGGAACTGAGACACCACCCCCATCCCCAAGTGCTGGAACTACGGGAGACACCACCCCCATCCCCAAGTGCGGGAACTGAGACACCACCCCCATCCCCAAGTGCGGGAACTGAGACACCACCCCCATCCCCAAGTGCGGGAACTGAGACACCACCCCCATCCCCAAGTGCGGGAACTGAGACACCACCCCCATCCCCAAGTGCGGGAACTGAGACACCACCCCCATCCCCAAGTGCGGGAACTGAGACACCACCCCCATCCCCAAGTGCGGGAACTGAGACACCACCCCCATCCCCAAGTGCGGGAACTGAGACACCACCCCCATCCCCAAGTGTGGGAACTGAGACACCACCCCCATCCCCAAGTGCGTGAACTGAGACACCACCCCCATCCCCAAGTGCGGGAACTGAGACACCACCCCCATCCCCAAGTGTGGGAACTGAGACACCACCCCCATCCCCAAGTGCGGGAACTGAGACACCACCCTTATCCCCAAGTGCGGGAACTGAGACAGCACCCTTATCCCCAAGTGCGGGAACTGAGACAGCACCCTTATCCCCAAGTGCGGGAACTGAGACACCACCCTTATCCCCAAGTGCGGGAACTGAGACACCACCCCCATCACCAAGTGCGGGATAAAAGTGACTAATTAGAAGTTGTGTTGAAATTAGGATGTTTTTGGTCAAAAAGTGCAAATATCGCAGGCTGGCTTTTAACAAAGCATGCTACATACCCAATTTAAGGGCATGTGTGAAAGATAAACTTTGTACCTATGAGCAGACGTTAGATTTTTGAATTTGCGAACATTCTGCATCTGTCGGGTACGTGTAAATACATTTAAAAGTCTGTGAGCCTGTGTGGCAAAATGTGTGGATGTTGTTCTGTGAATAGATATTTAAGTCTGCAGCCCATAAACTAGGGTGGATGGGCGGACTTAATTCACAGGAAACAGGTAAACCATTGGTATGAGATTTAAGTGTAAGTTTTTGCAGGCTGACAAGTTTTAGAGTATACAATTTGTGAAATTGTAACCATGTGCTTCTATTAATTGCCTGTGGACTTTCTGTTTCAGTGAAATCAAGACAGAGGTAGAGGCAGAAACAGAGCTAGAAGAGGTCAGTGTGCATATGCTTTCTGTTTTTACCCTTCAGTCTTTATTACTTGCTCTCTTTATTAACCTTTTTTTGCGATTGTTTATTCAGATTTTTGTGGCTTCTGTCAGTTTTAGTAGATACCTATCCGATCTGTTGTTAAATAACTTACATGTATACATGTATTTGGTGTCTCGTGAGGAATGTCTTCAAAAGAGAGTATGAAAATGTTATGTAGAACCTATATTGCTGTTTGGTGGGGCAAATTGTGGAATGTGGTTGCACAAATTAAAGACTTGGATAGAGATGTTGTTCCGCAGACAAGAATGCCTTAGATTAGATTGCCAAAGTAACTAACGAGGATTGGTTAAAAGAAGCTAATAAAAAAAAGATCAATGTATACTAAGACTGTACCGAATAGTGATTACTATTCGGCCGAATACGAATAACAGGACCAACTATTCTGCCGAATACGAAGATTGTGTAGTGTATAAAATATATAATTAAAGAAAACACATTCATAATGTCAAATGTACGCTGAACTTTTACTTCACCTAAAGTAGCACAGAATAGTCATCTTCTTCTTTAGAATACTGAGCCCTTGAGGTTTACTGCTGCAGATATCACTAGTCTCCATTCATTTCTCTGACTGGCCTTCTCTTCACAATTTGTGGCACCAGTTGTTTGCAGGTCTGGCTGAACATTATCTCTCACGCCCATTCCTCTCTCAGGTGTATACGGTTTTACTTCTGTCATCTGACATTCTTTCAATATGCCCCAACCATTTAAGTCTGTTAGCTCTCATGATGCCAGTGATCAATGGTGATTTAAACCGATTATGTGTTACGTTGTTGCTTCTCACTCCCCATTCCCCGCTGTTAGCATCTTTGATGGGTCCACAGATTTGTCGTAAGACTTTACATCTCTTTGACTTTAGTAGACGTTGAAGGGCATAGTATACTTTATTTCTAGATTGTATTCTGGATTTTATTTTTTCTCTCAGCATGTTGGAGCAGTTAAAGTTTGCACCCAAGTACTTATATGTTTCTGTTTGTTTGATTTTATCGACTTGGGTGTGGCCAGAGTTTATATTCTTTCCATGTCTAGTTAGCATCCCTCACTCAGTCTGTGGTAACTAATAACTAGGAATGAAAGAATCCTAAGTATTATAACAAGTAACTAAACTTGGAAATTGTCACTGACAGCTTTAGTTAATGCATGAAAGCTGCATTAGCTTTCAACAAAACTAATCATCCCATGTTGTCAGTATTAAGGCCGTGTATGCAGAAGCGGGTGTAAGGTAACTACTATTCATATTCGGCCCGACCGCAACTATTCTACTAGGTCTACTATTCGGCCTTGAAGCGAATATTCGGTACAGCCCTGATATATACAGCTAAATAGAGAAAAGACAAGCACGGTTCTTTATGTATGTGGTGGGTGGGGGCGCTTTGGAGAATATTGTGAAGACTTGAAAGATCAACGGTAGAAGGAGAAGCAGACCAAGGAAAATTATGAATTATGGTGGAAATGAACAGAGGTCAAGGGGCCGAGATCTGTGGAGATACATCATAACGCCTACATCAGTCAGCACAGCACATGATGATGTGTGCTGAAGAGAATCTCCCAGGCTGGTGAATAATTTGTGACAGCAGAATTGAAACCAGTGGACCATGATAATTGTATTGTTTGATGCCTGACCTCCGCAGTCTGAAGTTGCACCCAGTTCACCAATTTCTGGCCTTTGCACACATAGGAAACATGACCTTTCAGTGACTTTTGATATATGTAACAGAAAAATCTTAAAGAATAATCAGAACTTGATCGCCCAGAATAATCTACAGAACTGACACATAGACCTTTTAGAACTACATGGAGAAGACAACTTAAAAGATGTAGGTAGGTAGTTTGATCCCTTAAATGTTGCTGCAGTTTGCAGAGTTCACAGCTCAAGGATGTTAGTCAAACATGTACAAATCCCGGTAAGCCTTGTTCAAAAGGTTTTATTGGATCTCCAGGCTGTTAGGAAGTTACCTTAGTTAGTTGAGGCTCTAGGCTCCTTTAGGAGGGCAACTGGTAGAAGAAAAATTGTCCATGCCTGTTGAGAGGTGAAACACAGGATACTTTTGTTTGGTGTGGATTAGAATCGCTGCTAGAAGATAAGCTACTTGATTAAAATGTTTCATATTATAAGAAGGGAAAAAATAACGGTTTGCTAAATAAAAATTATTCTGCTATAATAAGATGCCTAAAACGCATACAGGGAGGTATGATCACTTGCCGAAGTAAATGTATAGTATATATTGATTTTAAAAAGAAGGTAACTGAAGGAAGAGAAACTGGTTTAATTGATGGTTTTGTTTGTGAGCAGAGGGTCAGACAACAGATGACCAAGAATGCAGTTCTACATCTCAAAGGTTTCAGCGCGGACACCAGCAGAGAGCAAGTCAAGAAATGTTTCCAGCCATACGCTGATGTCGGATGGGTAGATTTTGACAAGGGTGCCACTGAGGTATGTTCATGTTTGTTTGTCTCAGAGGGTGCGTCCATGTGTGTGAATGTTTGCCTATATGTGTGCATGTTTAGATATTTCCATGTTTGTGTTGTACACAGATATGCGCTTGTTACATGTCTTACATATATCATATTTCTCACCAGGGTTACATCAGACTTCGAGAGCCTGACAGTGCAGGTCCCACACTTGAGAAAGCCAAAGCTGCAAATGATGGAAAGATTGTAATCCAAGATACAGAGATTGAAGTTCGAGTTGTTGAAGGTATGTACACATCAATCATAAATGGTTTGAGGAAAAAAATGTCTAGTGTATGTCCGGGATGTAACAAGAGACAGACAGGAGTCTTAAGTGTGTGACCAGAGACAGACAGGAGTCTTGGGTGCATTATAGGAATATAAAAAGGAACTGACATTACATGTTTCTGTAATAAAGCTTTACCCGACCTTCAAATTAGACACATTTTCCGTAATGTGCCTGAATTACAAATAGTGTGACAAATATGATAGAATTGTGCTCCAGTCTCAGGCAAATACATGAATTAAGAACTGACATGTTTTTTGCTGTTGTTGATAAACATAAAACATGAAGTTTTATTGTATAAAAAAAACAAGAAAAAAAGAGTAAGAGAAACATAAGGCACAGGCTTAGAATTAAGAGGAGCACCAGACACTGATACAGGCATAGGGTGACATAAACGTGGTGTTAGCTTAGAACGACAGAGGTATAAATGGACACACAGGCTTAAGAGTGACTGAATCTAACGACCCGGGATTGACAGGTTAAGTGTCAAAACAGGTTGTGTGTGTGTGAGAAGTGCCCTAATGTTTTTTCTTTGTTCTCCCTTGTCAGGTGATGAGGAGTTGCAGTACTGGAAGAAAATGTTCAAAGATATTGCAGACAAAAAGAAAGGTGGAGGGAAAGACAGAAGACAGGGTGGCAGAAGTCAGAGGGGTGGACGGAATCAGAGGGGTGGAAGAAGAAACAGAGGAGGGCCACAGGTACTGTATTGTTTGATCTATCCTGATGTTCATGTTGACAGCTTCATAATGAAAACAGCTCTATGAAAATTCTCAGTACAATCATTTTAATTTTTAATTATGTAGTAATTTTATGACAGAAAAGAGGCTGAAAACATCTCAGAAAGACCGCTAACATGATATATACATATATACTTGCTGTACCCGACCAAATGTTGCTGTTGCATAGTTTTGCTAAATGGAAAAGAAAGAAATTAGAAATCACACTTGTCTAATATAGTCTGGTTTGCCTGTTTTAGAACATGCACCATATAATAATTGTGTCTTCAAAAAATTATATTAGTGGTTGTTTAAATGGGTGTATTAGGACTTTAAAAAAAGATAAAGCTGTTTGTATTTTTTTTCCAAGAGACGGAAGCAAAGCTTACTTGTGTGAAATAACCACGCAAGTCGCAAAAAAAAATATATGAGAATAGCGGAGGTAGCAAATAAATTAGGGAATGAAAAATAAAAAGACAAGTAACAGGAATGGTAATGGAACGTAAATATGGTCAGTGTAATATTTATTACAGCACCCATCAAGTGCCGGTACAACTACTGCCACCACAACAGCTGAAATAATGTTATTACTGTCTGTTCTACCACCTTTCTAGGTCGGTGTAGACAGTGCCAGGAGTCAGAATTTAGCGCCGCGCGGCAGTGAGCTTTAATCTGCCCCCCCCCCCCCCAAGAAAATGCAGCTGGCTACTTTGTAGGCAGGGGGGTCTTTAGCCTGGGTATTTAGTATTTAGGGACACATCATGGCTGTGGGTTATTCGCATATCCTTTGTTGGCTGTGACTATGTTTTACATGCAGTAGTTTGTGCCCTTGCTGTCGGCTTTTGATACCGGTGTCAAAATCAGCACTCCGCCTGTCTGCTGGCAAATTGCCCAGAGCTGGAATCGAACTGGGTACCTCAGAATGAAGTGATCATAATGCCCAAGCTGCCAGTGTGGGTAGGCTGGATGCCTATTTAAACTGTTTTATTTGACGATTTTAATTTGCACTCATATATGTCTGTTCTCTGAGCAACCCTTGCACCCATGAAAGTGTACGGTGTATCTGGCCTTGTTGTGAAACTGTACGGTGTATCTGGCTTTGTTGTGAAACTTTACATCTGCAAAGTCTGTTAGTTATTTTCTTTCGTATTTTTTCAGGGCAAACGGAAATTCAATAAAAAGGATGAAGATGAAGGAGGTAGCGATGGAGATGAACAAGTCAAAGAAGGTAATTTGTTGTGATTAATTCTTGTATGTTTGATTTTGCAGCATAGTCATCAATCACATTTGTTTGCCACTTCGCACCAGACAGTGTCACGTATTATTTGTTTGCCAATTATACCGGTAAGTATAACATTGATATGATTCTGGGGATCATTTTGGGATGTCATGACAACCTACACTTGTTTTGTTTTGGCTACACCTGATATTTGATGAAATACATCTCTGATGTTGTTGTCATGTTTCTCAACCTGTTTGTCATTTTATTTCCACAGAGCCGTCAGCCAAGGTCATCAAAACTGAGGAGGAGGTTTAAAGAGAACAACACCCCCAACAACAAAATGGCTTCTGTATGGAAAGTTGATCATCCCTGTGCATGGCGGCTGTGTAACTGCAGCATTTTAATATGTAGAACATTTTATACACATACAATGTGCCATTATCACAATAAAGTTTCGTGGATGTAAAAAAAAAAAAAACTTGCAGTAGCTGTTGCTTTATCTCAGAAACTGAAAACAGCAAATGAGAGACTGGCCATTTCAGCACAAAAGATGGGGGGGGGGGGACACAGGAAAAAACAAAAACCTGCTGCCAGTTTCACAGTACTTATAGGAAATTTCTGAGTCCTTACTCATTTCAACACAACAAACTTAAATAACACAAGTGGCCATAGTTTATTATGAATTTCACAAAATTACATCAAAGTTGTAAAATGTGCAGTTACTGACAGACAAGAATTCTGCAACTATCAATCAATCACACACAAGCTATTAGAATTTGTATATGAAACCTGATAATTGGGTTATAGTTTTCTGCTGTGTACGTGAATTATCTATCTATCATAGCACAGAGTATTTGGGTTATAGTTGTAAGTTTGTAACTACATACATGTTTATATGCTGCTGTAGCTACACATGTGTAAATGAGAGAGCTTTTCCCCCCAGGATACACACAAAATGTTTTTTTTCTGCCTCACACACACAAGTTTTCATACATGCAAAGAAGTGAACATATTAGACACATTACACACCTGTAGCAAAGTTTAGCGGTAATCATCATTGAGATATGATTGGGAGAATAATAATGGTTGATGTGAGAGGGAAGTGGTGAGACAGAATGAGTGAAGGGTTTTGAGAACAAAATAAGGCTGGTGATGTGAGCGAGAAAAGGTTAACACAAACCTGTCTGTATGGAAGCATGAACACTATTATACATGACACCGCCTGGTTGGCAGCAAATGGAAGACATCCAACACATCCGGCAATGGTGGGGACCATTTTACTGTGTTGATCAATGCCAAAAATCACACCCAGTACATTCAATGCCTCTTACAAACAACTCTTGTGCAAGGCATCTCATTCAACTGCCTTGAGTAGACACATGTTCTGACCTGGCATCATCACTTAACATTTGCAGTACATTGCTCTGATGATGGCATGCAGGAAAACCAGCCCTGTCCTGCTTATTAAACAAGACTTAACTCTGATATCTCATGCCCACGACCAAAGTTGGTTGCTCCCTGTCCTTTTTCCCCAGAAACAATACTCTCCCCATTATTGTTCTATCCTAACCATTGTGCTAGTCTCTCCCCATCCAAAACCCGAAGAATTAGTATTTTTTATTCTTCTTGGTCACTAACACTCTAAAATAACCTTCTTGTAACAAAAGCCTCCATTTTTAGACAGTGAAATAGTTCACGATTTATATCTTTTTGTTGCCACAAGAATGCAGTTTCTCCTGAATTTTCAAGTTATTTCTGCTGTTTTGCTGCAGGCTTTCAATAGACACATAACTTGCTCACCTGTCTAAGCCAAATGCTCCCTATACCAGACACTGGTTAATGCTGTATTTATACATTGATAACATGAAATATTTCGTTGATAAATGTCCGTGACATCCACCTGTACATCACAGGTAAATGAAAACACAATTACATTCTGCTGTTGAGCACAAACAAAACCACAAGCGATTTGGATACTTTAAACATGATATATTAGACAAATGTACATGAGAGAATGATGCTGGTGTGAACTGTTTTGATTGATTGTTGTTGCATGGATTACAGTTTGATGTGGGGGAAATCATTATTCATCAGCAAAAATAAATGAGTTTCGTCAAACAACAATCTAAAAATGTTCAGTCAGGCAGTCAAACAATCTAGAAATGTTCAATCAATCAAACAGCAATCTAGAAATGTTTAGTCAAACAACAATCTAGAAGAAATGTTTAGTCAGTCAGTCAAACAACAATCTAGAAATGTTCAGTCAATCAAACATCATTCTATAAATGTTTGGCCAGTTAAACAACAATCTAGAAAATAAATGTTTAGTTAGTGAAACAACAATATAGAAATGTTCAGTCAATCAAACATCATTCTAGAAATGTTTGGCCAGTCAAACAATCTAGAAATCTGCAAAATATTACCCCATTATTAATCCATAGTCAGTACATTGGCTTTTGGTGGAGTTAAAAAACAAATGTTAAGTTCTGTGAACATACTTTGATTTTAAACAGCAAGATTCAAGTGGCACTTGTCTCAGGTGATTGTCTGTTACTTGGAATGGAGTACTGTCCACAACTTGTCTAAGAGATGTCACTTGTAACATGTAAATATCCAGGCAATTTTGTTGCGCACCAACACTGGATATATTGTTTTTTTCGTTTTTGGTGGTGCTGTGTTGAAGTGGGATGCTACTGGTAAAGATGGCAGTCTCGGCTGGCGTGCTGTGCTAACAATGTTTACGCATTGAGCAGTCCACAAGCTGGGAAGACATGAGACCTCATCCGCAGGGGATTGCAACTGTCTAGACAAAAAACTTGAGAAAGAAATTAAAAAAGCACCAAAGAATCCTTTCTACTGAAATATGCAAATCATCTTCTCTAGTTAATTCATACAGGTCACCAACAGAAGTTCTGTATAGCCATGTGATTATATGTTTCACTTTCGCCGGTCGGACTAAATGAGACAATGTGGTCTGTGTAATTCTGTGAGAGGGGTGTATGCTGTGTGCTTTATAACATGTGGGCGTCTTTCCTAGCAGATACAGCCAAACATACCAGGCAATGAGTTATGCTTGCTGGGTGTCCGTTTTGTTTAAATCTGACATTATTTCAAATGAGGAAATAATAGAGGGGTATAATACTTGTCAAGGAGAACAAGAATCAGACCTCATATCTGCCTCAACACCCGAAGCGTTACAAGAAGGACAACAACTACTTGAGAAGTTGCATATTTCAGAGCTGCAAGCGGGGCAACAGAAAACAAGTCTGAAATCATGACACAGAAATACAGGATGTTTAGATCTCGCATGAGACTTGAAATTATGATATTTCATCTTCGTCCTTATAAAATAATGACAAGTTAGAGATTTACACAAGAATTATGTTAGGATGAAAACATGACCCTACCAACCCAAGAATAAATATAATCTGCAAAGGTTGATGTCAGATCATCTCTCGGTCATTGATATAGTTATATACAGATTAAGTAAAATCGTGAAGTTTAGTTATAGATGAAAACTTCACACTTTATAGAGATAATACAATCTATGTCACTTTAATAACAGATAATGCAGTCTATGCTTGGATGAAAATATACTTTAATAAAAAAAAATAATACAACTGTATGTCTGAATGAAAACATGATACTTTATTTAAAGATAATACAACTGTATGCTTGAATGAAAGCTGTATATAACTTTATACCAAACTGAAATCAAAATATCTTCTGTGAAAGTATTTAAAAACAAAAATACAACTTCAGTTGCGAAAGAAAAAAAAATGTGATATGTGAAATGTAAAATGTTCATCACAGACATCTTCTGGTGGTTTTATGATTTCTACCACAGAAACCATGGAAGCGTCAACAAATTTTGACCATCTGGGGGCAACAGCACTCTGGAAAACAACACTTGTAGTAAAACAGTTACAATACTATAAAGCCTCTACTAAAATAATTTGTATGTACTTCCTGGTAAAAGTTTCAGCACTTGTATATCCAGGTAAAATATTTACAACACTTGTAGTTCCTGCTAAAACAGTTACAATACTATAAAGCCTCTACTAAAATAATTTGTACTTCATGGTAAAAGTTTCAGCGCTCGTATATCCAGGTAAAATATTTACAACACTTGTAGTTCCAGGTAAAATAGTTGTAAATACCTGTAGTTCCTGGTACAACTATTCATATAGGAAATGCTGCTACAATTCTTGAAACCTATGGATTAATATGGCTCCAATCATTAGGAGGCTACAAGTTACAGCTTGCTTGACTGTTATAAAAGGGGGATGTCAGTTTGTTGGCTGTTTTAAAAGTGGGATGTCAGTTTGTTAACTGTTATAAAAGGGGGATGTCAGTTTTTTTTACTGTTATAAAAGTGGGATGTCAGTTTGTTGACTTATAAAAGGGGATGTCAGTTTGTTGGCTGTTTTAAAAGGGGAAATGTCAGTTTGTTGACTGTTATAAAAGGGGGATGTCAGTTTTTTTACTGTTATAAAAGGGGATGTCAGTTTGTTGACTGTTATAAAAGGGGGATGTCAGTTTGTTGACTGTTATAAAAGGGGGATGTCAGTTTGTTGACTGTTTTAAAAGGGGGATGTCAGTTTGCTGACTGTTTTAAAAGGGGGCTGCCAATTGTTTGTCCATTATAAAAGGAAGCTAAGGGTTGTAGATTGCTTATTAAACATGGGTTGCTATTCATAGCTGGATCCAAACACACACACAAAAGGGATCATGAGAATGACACGGCTTCCTTTCTACAATCATTTACGCTTGTACATACATTAACAGAATATATGCTTGTACACACACCAGGAATCAGGCTTGCTTGTATACACAAATGTATCAACAATTATATATGTCTGTACACACACCAGAAATCATAGCTTGTGAACATGCCAACAATCATATATGCTTGAATACACATCATCAATCACATATGTTTGTACAAACACCAACAGTCATATATGCCTGTACATGCACTACACACACACACACCCACTCATAGATGGAATGCATGTCTGGTTTTCAAAGAACAGACTTGCTAAGCACACACACACATACTCTCCTAGGTGGGTCAACAATTATCCAAACTCTAGCTGTATAAAGAACAAGTACACAAGTCTCAACTTCTGAGTTCCGGGCTCATTTTGTTTGAGCAACAGGGCACCAGCACAGCGACCAGCACGAGGCAAGCCAAGCGCCAGCAACAGTCAGCTAGTACCCGTCGATATCATCACAAAGATCACACCAGAACCAAAAACCACAATCACCGCAGCACAGCAAGGAAGCAAACAACAATAATATCAGGTGTGACT